ATTCTTGGGGGGGGGGGGAGGTGGCATTTCAGACCAGCCCAAGGAGGTGGCATTTCAGACCAGTCACGTCTGCAGAGCAGAAGAGGATCTTTCTCTCGGGAGGCAGGCGCTGGCTTGAACTCTCGGGCTGCGAAGACCGCTGCTGAGCTGGTTTCCGGAGCTTGAAGGTGGACAGTGTTGAGGGCTTAAAGTGGACTTTGAGGTTATAGCGTGGCCATGCTTTATCATGCTAGGAAATTTTCCCCCACCCCATCACCCCAAGTTGCATTCCTTCTCCATTTCAATCAGGTAGCCATGAGCAGGAAATCCCTTTCCTTTCGTTGTACCATTGGTGCCGCCCCCCCCCCACCTCAAATGTCTTCATCAATGTTGTCTGGTTTCCTCCTTCCCCGAAACGGCTCCTCCAGGCCGGGGGTGGGTGGGGTGGTGGCCCAGCCTGTCTTTGTTTTGACTCCTTCGAAATGTCTCCTCCCTTCTGATCTGCGTGTGCATGTTGTCCTCTCTCTCTCTCTCTCTCTCTCTCTTTCCCCGAGCTGTGAATAATTTTTAACCATGTAAATATTGTCCAGCTCTTAAGAAAACATAGGATATTTTATCAATTGTAAATCAAAAAAACAAAATCTGTAATCGTTCCCTGTATAATACGAATTATCCCATGGGTGAATTTTCAAACTCAGGTTCCAAAGGACCAAATAATAAAAACAAAAGTTTTGTTTTTTAACTCCGCCTGCCTCGTCTGCTCCCTGGGTTTGCTGCCCTCACTCAAGGGACAGAGTCTTTGGGGCCTTGAATCGACGACACCACGGGATGTGGCCCAGCATTTGGAAACAGAGTCGGTCTTCTCCTTCCTCCATCCCAGGCAGGAGAGGGAAGGTGATCGTTCAGGTTCCGTACCGTGGAGGAGGCCTCCCAGTGTGATGAAGTGATGGAAACACCAGAACATAAGAACATAAGAGACGCCAATGTCGGATCAGGCCAAAGGCCCATCCAGTCCAACACTCTGTGTCACACAGTGGCCAGAAATACCAGGTGCCATCAGGAGGTCCAGCAGTGGGGCCAGAACTCCAGAAGCCCTCCCACTGTTGACCCCCCCCCCAAGCACCAAGATGACAGAGCATCCCTTGCCCCAGAGTCCCTATCTATTCCTTGTGGCTAATAGCCACTGATGGACCTCTGCTCCATATACTTATCTAATTCCCTCTTGAAGCCGTCCATGCTTGTAGCCGCCACCACTTCCTGTGGCAGTGCATTCCAAGTGTTAATCACTCTTTGGGTGAAGAAGTACTTCCTTTTATCCATTCTAGCCCTACCGCTCAGCAATTTCATGGAGTGCCCACGAGTTCTTGTATTGTGAGAAAGGGAGAAAAGTACCTCTTTCTCTGCCTGCTCTTTCCCATGCATAATCTTATAAACCTCAATCATGTCACCCCTCAGTCGTCGTTTCTCCAAGCTAAAGAGCCCTAAGCGCCTTAACCTTTCCTCATAGGGAAAGTGTTCCAACCCTTTTATCATTCAAGTCGCCCTTTTCTGCACTTTTTCCAAAGCTACAATATCCTTTTTAAGGTGTGGTGACCAGAACTGCACACAGTATTCCAAATGAGGTCGCACCATTGATTTATATAGGGGCATTATGATATTGGCTGATCTGTTTTCAATACCCTTCCTAATAATCCCCAGCATAGCATTGGCCTTCTTTATTGCAGTCACACACTGTCTCGACATTTTCAGTGAGTTATCTACTACGACTCCCAAGATCTCTCTCTTGATCAGTCTCTGCCAGTTTAGACCAACTTATATTTTGGACTTCAATCCAGCTGTTACTCCGTGGCGCACAGGGCAACACAGATGGCCCCCTTCATTTTCTGCTGGCTTTGCAGCATCCCAGTGAGGCGACAGGCCCCAGGTCCCGCTGCGGCTTGGGGGTCAGGTCTTCCCCAGCCCTAGACTGTGGCTCTTCCCAGTCTTCGTCAAAGAGTTGCACGGCTTGATCGTTTCTCTCACTGAGCACCTGAGCGGGTCTTGCTGAGCGGGTCTTGCTGAGCCTGTAGCTCAGTTTCTATTCCGATCCTTCCCAAGGACACGCAACTGGTTTAGTATCGAACAAGATTGAAACGAAGCCATTGCACCTACCGGGTTGAACTGTAGCTCAGTTTCTATTCCGATCCTTCCCAAGGACACGCAACTGGTTTAACATCGAACAGGATCAAAAGGAAGCCACTCCACCTACCGAGTTGATTCTGCCTCTCGTGCCTCAGTCCCCCTGCACGTCTCCTCTCCCTTTTTCTTCCTCACGACAAGCCTGTTGGTGAGGATAGGCAGGGAGTGCCTGTGTCAGGCCCCTGTGAGCGCTGTGGCCGAGTGGGAATTTGAACTCGGGCCTCCCAGGGCCTAGTCTGGCACTCAAGCCACTACCCTTCCCAGGCTCTTGGGAGCAGGGAAAACTCCAGGGCTGCGGGGCCCTAGCCCTTCGGAATCTCTCT